TCCCTGCCTTAAAACCTCATAAAAAGCTTCATTATTGGCTTCTAAGTGGGATTTTGGTTTTGATTGATTAAATGCTTAGAAATGAGTTTTGGCTACTTAGTGTTTATATTCATTTTTATCAAGTGAAAAATAGTGGCACTAAACCTTGATTCTTTTTCACAGGATGGAGTCCTGGTGGATGAATTTGGATTGCCACAGATACCTGCTTCATAGACTTTCATCATTCAAGTACACATGTAAAATAAACACATATTGTGGGACTAGGAAATATATCCAGATTTTCCATAACAGATTTAAGTTCCTTTCCCTTCTTTGAAGGAAAGGTTAATTACACTGCTCTTTTATTTTTTTTCCGTTAAGAAATTCATTGCTTGGGGAAGCTTTCTTATACTAAAATTTGATTCTTTTTCTCTTATGAAAAATTAACTTAAAAGTATCTTTGGCTTTTGTATGACTCATTTTCACTCATTAATAACAATTTGAAATAAAACCAAGGATATGAAATCTTAAATTTTGTGACAGTGTAACTCTACAGTCTCAATATGACCTGATAATTGATGAAGTGAAGATGAGATTATTGAGACTGTTCATATTATGATTCAAAACCATTTCTATTGTGGCATATAGGTGGCTCAAAGTAATGGCTCTTTTGATAGGTTTTGTTGTGTCTTGTGAACAAATCATGTGTCCAGTGTTGGAATGGAATTGTCGCTACAGTATCACAAGTGGATATTTTGACTTTGTCGTTCCTTCAGTATTACAGCCTGACTTGTAATCAATAATGAATATTTCTTGATATTTAATATATAGGACATTTATTTATACTCAATAAATATTTTTCAAAAGGATATAATTTCAATATCACTTCAGCCTAAGGGCTCCACTACAGAAACCAAATTTAATCAATAGCATTGTGGTACAGAGATAAGAGCAATGGCTGTGGGTATACTATCTGCTACCTACTAAGTCTACTTGATTTTTGTAAATTTCTATTTCCTTATTAGTAAAATTGTGCTTAATTGAGATAATGGTCATAACTACTCTGTTAACTGCAGTGTGCTATATTCTCATATGAGGGATTATTAATAATTTAAAAAAAGTGGGGGCTTCATTCTTTTCTTACAGGGTGCCTGGAGTGCTATGGCAAGTCCAAATCCTGCCTGATTTTAGAGTCTTTAACAATCCTTCCTCACTCAACCTCTCACCAACAGCATTTCCCCTCTAATATGTCTGGGTACACAGTGCTATGTGTACCAATCTTTTACATATCTGTAGATCAAACTAATAAACATTTATTGAACACTAGTTCTATAGAAATCTCTATGCCAGCTCAAGTAATACTAAAACCAGTCAGTACCTCTCTTCAAAAGTTCACTGTTAGTTATAGGTAGGGACAAAATATTTATGTAACTCTCCTACTCCCACTGATCTCACACTCTTAAGAAGTCTCCACTGGGAGCAAACATTACAATATTCATTATTACTTTCTTGAGATCTTTCTTGGCTTCTCTGAGTTCTCCTCTGGACACTTATTCTCTTCAATGGACTTCTCTTTCTCAGCCCCTTAAATATTTCTTCCATTATAATTCCAATCTATACTTGTTAAGAATGTTGGGGTGCCAAAGAAATCAGACATGTACCCAAAAATTAGTTAGCAAGGTAAATTTTACTTCTGCAGAAGGTATGCTACCAAAATTTCTGACAAGCAAGCACACTAGGCAAGAAGTCTGCCTAGGTTATTATCCCTAATGCAGCACTGCCTCTTGATCTGATAGGAGGTTGGGGTTATAATCTACATGATTGACTAATTTTAAATTGGGGAGGGGAAGGGGAAAGGCTATAGTTATGATTGGATCACCTACTATACTATAGGCATTGTAATCTGAAGACAAAGGACAAAAGGAAATTTGATGGCAGGGTTCAAAATGGCTACATTTCAATCATGTTTTAGATTACTGCCAACACATTTTTGTTACATATTAGGAAACTCAGACTTTAGGTTTAATTTTGACAGAAAAGAATATCAATCTTAAATACTCTTTGAGAATTCTCAACTAGATTTCAACTATAACTGTCACTAACTAACCTTGATTTCTTATTTTCAATTCTGGGCTTGTTCATTTAAATCCCCCACACTACCTAAAATCTAACAGCCAAATTAAGCTCATTGTCTTAGGGTTCACTCTTGGAAAACATTCCTCGTTTATTCCTTGTCATGCTTATGCTAGCCAAGTCCCATTGTCTTAATCTGTTTTCTGCTATAACAAGATACCACAGACTGGATAAAATTATAAACAATAGAAGTTTGTTTGACTCACAGTTCCAGAGGCTAGGAATTCCAAGATCCAGGGAGTGGATCTGGTGAGGGCCTTCTTGCTGCATCATAACATGGAGGAAAGCATTACATGGCAAGAGCATGAGAGAGAGAGTAAACAGAAGGGCAAACTACCAAACCACTCCCATCATAACAGACTTAATTCATTCATGAAGCCAAAGCTCTGGTGGCTTAATAAACCTTTAAAGGTCCCACGCTTAGTACTGTTAAAATGACAAAACTAGATTTCTACTTGAATTTCAAGGGAAGACATTCAAATCATATTACCCATATATTGGTTGATATTTGGTTCTCCAACTATACTACATTAGTCTTAAAGGGAGCAATCATTCTACCTAAAAATCTTCATTTTATTGGCTTTTATTACCTGCCACCCTTTGGTACTAGGGATTGAACCCAAAGGGTCTCTTCAACTGAGCCCCACTCCCAGCCCTTTTTTAAAAAAATTATTTTAAGAGCAGGTCTTGCTAAGCTGCTGAGGCTATCCTCCTACTTGCAATCCTCCTGCTTCAGCCTCCTCAGATGCTGGAATTGCAAGTAGGCACCACTGCACCTGGCTGTTACCTGTTAATCATTAGAGAGCAGAATTGAGTGCAGATAGTCTCGAGTTTTAATTTGTCAGCCCTGAGTTTAGTAGAAGTGGGGCAGTAAACTGGAATGATATGTGAAAGTGTGGCACTTCTTTTTTTATTTTTATTTTTATTTTTTTTTTAAAGAGAGAGAGAGGAGAGAGAGCGAGAGAGAGAGAATTTTTTTTAATATTTATTTTTTAGTTCTCGGCGGACACAACATCTTTGTTGGTATGTGGTGCTGAGGATCCAACCTGGGCCGCACGCATGCCAGGCGAGCGCGCTACCGCTTGAGCCACATCCCCAGCCCCAAAGTGTGGCACTTCTACTTCTATCACCCCTATTTTTTAGTTTTCCTCTCCAGTCCTCATTAGTTTTTTTGTTCAAGACAGGGTTTCATTGAGTTGCCTAGGTTGGCCTCTACCTTGCTCCTGCCTCAGCCTCCTGTGTTGTTGGGATTATAGGCATGTACTACTATGCCTGCTGATATAATAAATCCAGATACAGTATGGATACTTGGATTTTTAAAAACTCCTCAGGTAGGTAGGCCTTAAAGTAGCCAAAGTTGAGGGGAGGGGGAGTTAAAGTAGCACCCAATGCCCTAGGGTGCCTGACCAGTCTGAATCTATTTTTCATGGACAATCTGAACTATTAACATCCATTTCTGCAGCTTAGAGATAGGCAATGATTGCCCTAAGGCAGAGGTGTTTCATCTGTGGAATTAGTTGGGAAGTATCCCCTCCTCTATTTTTTGAAAGAATTTGTGAAGGATTGATGTTCACTTTTTGAACAAATGATAGAATTCACCAATGCTTAAGCCATCTGGGCTTGGGCTTATTCTTTTGGGGGAAGTTTTTTGGTTTCTAATTCTCTCTCTACTTATTCTTGATCTATGCAGGTTTTCTATTTGTTCTTGAATCAGTTTTAGTAATTGTTCACTTCATCAAAGTAATTTTTTGGCATAAGGTTTTTGTGGTATTTCCTTTTGATTCTTTAAGATTGGCAGTAATGCCCCCTCATCCATAGCTATTTTTAGAAATTCAAATCTTTTTTTCCCCCTTAGGTTAGCTAAAAGTTTTTCCATTTTGTCGTTTTTGTTCAGTGAATTGCATTGTTAATTTTTCTCTGTTTTCCACTAATTTCTAGTTTAATATTTATTACTGTGCTCACTTTCATTTAGTTTGCTTTCTTTTTATAGTTTCTTAAGGTGGAAAGTTAGGGAACTGATTTGAGACACCGTGGCTATGCTTTTAATTTCTGGAAATGACAGGCAAAACAAAACTAAAATCTTATTTTAAAATTTTGCATTCCTCCATCATCAGTGAAGGCTTTTCATAATTATTGCCCACTTGTTTTCCCATTAATTACTTTTAGAACACCTTATCCAAGCTGATTGGTAAAATGCCACCACAGAACATCTTCACACATTCATTTAAAAATGTATCCTTTAAAAGTTATTAGTTAACTTTCTCCCTTGTTTGGTGTCCATCTCTATTTGTCGCTTGCCCGTTCAAGTTCAAGTTTTGAATATACGATTTGACTTTTTCTAACAGATTTATAGGAATTCTTTATCAGTGCTTTACCGTTTGGTTTTCATATTTTGCCTCTGGATTACTATTTGAGTACGTAAGTGATTTTGTTTCTCAGTATTGGGGATCTAACCCGGGGTCTAAGCAAGCATTCTTAACACATACCCAGCCCTTCAAAAAAAAAAAAAAAAATGACACCGTCTCCCTAAATTGTCCGGGATGGCCTCGAATTTCCCTTCCGGTCTTTAACTCTGGAGCAGCTGGAATTACAGGAGGGCGCCACAGGGCCTGATTAGGTGGTTTTTATTGTTGTTGTTTAACTCCAAGCTTAAACTATTCTGGAATGGTGAGGTCTGAGCTGACTCCTGAAGACTCCTGGGTGGCGGGGCAAAAGGGCGTAGTAGCTGGAAAACACAAAGCATCGCAAAAAGAAAAACAAGATTACGCAAGTCCCTGCCCTTCCTCCTACAATCTTTTGCCACCTCTCCTTGCCACCAGCTGCACGCCTCCTTCCGCCTGGCGCGTCTGTCTGACGTCACGAACTCGAGTCGTTCAATTCAGGCCGCGCAATCTCCGTGGCAGTCTACCTGGCGCGCCGATGCGAATCGTCGTGCGGCGCCGGAAGTCAGAGGCACGTGACCGGGTGACAGCGCTCTCTTGGCTGCGGGCTCGCTTTAGGTGCTGCGGCACGGGATGGCGGAGGCGCCTCCTGTCTCAGGTACTGTCCTGTCCCGCGCGGGACTGGGCCCTTCTCAGGGAAGGGCAGTTTGGTCAATGACTAAATGCTAGGGCTCCAGCAATTTATATCGCGAGAGTGGCTCATGCTAGACTTGGGAATAGTGGCTCAGAAGGGCCAAGCCACGCTCGTCGCGCAAACGGAGACCTCCAGCATCTTCAACTGGGTGGTGAAGCCCGGCATCTGGGTTTCCGAGGAGATCGGGCTTGTTCTGGCGCCCAGTGAATCGATACGGGTGTCCTGCTGTCCCACGGGGCTTATATCGGCCATCTAGGGTACATCTGGCTCACCTTTGAACGGCGGGCGTCGGCCAAGTTGCCGCCAGTGCCTGGCGGGCTCTCGGTTCCATCGGGTGTGCGCGCTGTGCTTGGGGTGTATGCATACCTCTTGGAGTGGCGGCGCGCGCTCCAGCCGAACACCAGTGGTGATCAAGTCTCAGTTTCCTCATCTGTCAGATTAAATAAGTTATAAACTGTAAAAGCTCTCGCACTGAACTGTGTCTGTTAGCTAACTTCCCTTCATGGAGTTGCCTCTGTAGACCGCCTTATTTGACTGTTAGTATAACGTCCATTTTCATTTCCTTCAGTGTGTACGGTAGATTCGTGGCTTCCAAACTTTGTGGTAGGGACCAAAAATAATTTTGTATCACAAGCTTATTTCACACTTACAGAACGTGAAAGTGAACTAAATATTTCCAGGAGCAATGTTTTCCTTTACTATCAGTGATATACTCTCTTCCGTGTGTGTGTGTGTGTGTGTGTGTGTGTGTGTGTGTGTGTGTGTGTGTGTTTAAACCCGGGCCTCACGCATGATAGGCAAGCACTCTACCACTCAGCTACATCCCCAACCCTTTTTTAAAATCTTAGGACAGGGTCTTGCTAAGTTACCCAGACCAGAGTCAAATTTTCTATCCTCTTGCCTCAGCCTCCCCAAGTAGCTACAGTTACACTGTAGCATCTGTCTTGTGTATCACTTTTAAAAGTAGTTGTCACTACCCACTATTTTGATTTAATAGGGTTTTTTTGTTTTGATTTGTTGTTGTTTTGGTAGGTGTATTCCGTTGTGCCTGGCTGCTACATGACTTGGTTTTTGATTTCACTGTTTCTGAAAAAACAAGGCAACAATTTCTAGCATTTGTTGGTTTGAATCTTAGCTCTGCCACAGAACTAAGATTTAAGATCGTATTGGGGCACCAATAAGATTATGTATGTATTTGTGTACTAGATAGCAAATAAAATATTTATTACTGTGACCTCAATTTGAAAAATTGGAAATTTTTGAATTTTGCGGGCAGAACTTGGATTTCCCCAGAACCTGTTTGTAGAGGGCCCATGTGAGTTCGGGAATAAAGAATTGCTGTTTGAATCTACAATGCCGCAGTCTGGCTGGGCACAAGATCACTAGCCACGCACTCCACCAGGCTTTGAATCCCAAATACTTTCTGAATTCCATGAGAACTCAATGGGAACTCAGGCAGCAGGATACGCCCTATTCCCAGCAGGAATAACCTTAAACCTGGAACGCCCTAAACCCAAGGGATACTCCCTAAAACCTGATCCCCCCCTAATCCAGTAGGATCCTCCTTAAACCCGGATCCACCCTGGACCTTAAGCAGGGTCACCTTTTTCAAACATACATGCAATGTCACTTCAAATGTCCATTTCCAGGGTCCTTCCTCTAAGCAACATGGGGTACGCTGGCAAGGAAATTTCCATGCATCATTCCTACTTGGCAATGGCTCTCAGCAAATCTTGGGGAGAGAGTTTTTGTTTTTGTTTTTTTTGGTCCAGGGATTGAACCCAGGGGCACTTAACCACTGAGCTACATCCCCTGCCCTTTTTATTTTTTATTTAGAGACGGGTTTTGATAAGTTGCCGAGGCTGGTTTTGAGCTCATGATCCTCTTGCCTCAGTCTCTTGAGCCACTGGGACTACAGGTATGCATCACTGTTCCCAGTGAAAATCTTATTTTGTGTAAATGGTATTGAAGATTGAACCCAGGGGTGCTCTATGACTGAGCTACATCTCTAGCCCCTTTTTTTTTTTTTTTTACTTTTTATTTTTCTTTTTTCTCTTCTTAGAGAGAGAGAGAGAGAGAGAGAATTTTTAATATTTAGTTTTTAGTTTTCGGCGGACATAACATCTTTGTATGTGGTGCTGAGGATCGAACCCGGGCCGCACGCATGCCAGGCGAGCGCGCTACCGCTTGAGCCACATCCCCAGCCCCATCTCTAGCCCTTTTTGTTGTTTATGTTGAGACAGGATCTTGCTAAAGTGCCAAGGATGGCCTCAAACTTGTGATCCTCCCGCCTCAGCCCCCCCAAATAACTGGGATTACAGTCATGCACACCATGCCCAACAGGGATATGAAAAAGCTTTTTAGGTTGATATTTTTGCTATTTTCCGCAACTAGTCCTTCACTAGACCCTCTAAACTGGATCTATTGGTCTTCCAATCCTCAGGCTCACTTATTTCTAAATCTCTCAATGTTTAAAGTGGAAAGGGTAAATAAAGGCTAGTTGTAAGACATAGTTGTTGGCCTCTGGTGTGGGCTCCAAGTTACCACCTCCACCTGTGAATGCATTTACTGAGTCCCATAGTTCAAAGACCTCTCTACTCTTGTGATTCTTTGTTTTTGTTTTAGTTCCCTATTCCATTTTCTTATTTTAGCATCATCTCTATTTTACAACCTCCCTCTCCATTTAAGGTCCTTAAATGGTAGCCTAATTCAGGAGGAATCTTTTTTTCATGGGTAGACTTTCCATGTCAGCTTTGTCCCTGGACTTTATAGTCTGCCAGTTGGCTTTGCCCTTATTCTGCTCTGATCGCCTGTTGAACACCTACCATGATGCTGTGTTATCTTGGATCTTGATACCACTTACTTCTGTAAGAGCCATGTCTGGATGAGAAGACATTCCAGTTATTGAGTAACTTTCACTTACTTAAATAGTGAAAGGAGTCTCTCTGATGTTTGCTATGGTCCAGTTTCCTGACTCATGTATCTCTTTTCCCTTCCTCATGTCTCTTAAGTGTCTTTCTGAGGGCTTTGCCTTATACTTAATGTCTAATGGAATATAAACTGTATGAATAGGTGCAGCCCTGTCTGTATTGATTCATTCCAGCCCAAAAGGCTATTCTGGACAACTTCACTGACCTTATTTCTGCCCCTCTTTTCAGCCTTCCTTTTTTTTTTTTTTTTAAATATTTATTTCTTAGGTGTAGATGGACTCAACACAATGCCTTTATTTTTATGTGGTCTGAGGATAGAACTCGGGTCCCACTGGTGCTAGGCAAGCACTCTACTGCTGAGCCACAATCCCAGCCCCTCAGCCTTCCTTTTTTTAAGCAGGAAAACTGACCTCTTGGTCCAGTTTACCACTCCTTATCTTTAATTTGTATCTTATATCTATAGAAAATCTCTACCACCTTCTGAATTTATCTAATCCTCATGCCATTTTGTGCAGCCTTACACTCCACCCCTAGAATTCTGCCTATGTGGAAGTGTTCAGTAGAAATCTGGGATTAAGTGAGAGGTTACTTTATGACTTTTATGAACTCATTCAGTTCTTCACTGTGTTTATCTGGTCTCTGGTGCCACACATCCTGAGCTAGAATCCTGAGTCTGCATTGGAATACCTCTGTGTCTTTAGGCAAGTTACTCTCTCTGTGCCTTAGTTTTCTCATCTAGAATGTATAAAGATTAACTGAGTTAACACATGTAAAGAACTTAGAATAGTGCCCAGCACATATTAAGTACCTAACAAATGTTAGGCCATATTATTAAACCTGCACTGTATCCATCTGCACTTGACTGTATATGTTTCAGGTAGTCCATAGTCTGTATTCCTAACAGCAAGAATAAAGACTGTTGTATCTACTTTATACATGTCATTAACTTGCTTTACTCTTTTTTTCCACATTTTTTAATTGGTGCACCATAGTTGTACACAATGATGATATTTATTGTTACATCCATGCATACAATGTAACAATATAATTTGACCAACATTACTCCCTAGTACTTCCCTCTTCCCACCCTTGCTTTACTCTTTACAGGAACTCTATTTGTTGTAGGGAGAAAACTTACATTAAAGCACAGTAGGTGATAGGGACTTAAATCCATGTCTTTCAGACTCTGTTGACTTATTTTATATGTTTCCAACTGATTTTGTGTTGTTAGGCTAATCATTTTTTCTTTAGGGCTTTAGGGACTGAGTTGACTATCCTAAAATCATTCTGGAGCCAGGTATGATGGCACATACCTGTAATCCCAGCTCCTCAGGAGCCTGAAGCAGGAGGTTCACAAGTTTAAGGCCAGCCTCTGCATTTCTGCCCCACCCTGTCTCAAAGTAAAAATTTTAAAGGGGCTTGGGATGTAACTTAGCGATAAAGCATGCCTGGATCAGTCCCCAGTACCAAAAAGAAAGAGGAAAAAAAATTATTTTAGAAGAGCAAAGTGAGTGAGTTTAAGGGACATATGATCAACTTTTTTTTTTTTTTTT